TGGTACTTCCTGTTCCCTATAGGGTACTTCCTGTTCCCTATAGGGTACTTCCTGTTCGCTAAATGGTGCTTCCTGTAACTTCCTGGTTTACCTCCTTCAGCTCTCCCCCGTCAGGTTTGTAGGTGATCATGTATCTGTGGACGGCTCCAGGAGCCGCGTCCCAGTTCAGCATCATGCTGCTGTGGGTGACGTCGCTGATCCTCAGCTCTCCAGCAGGGGACAGGGGTACTGAGGGAGGACAAAGACCTGTTAGAGCCAGAACCAGAGCCGGAACCGACCACCAGGTCAGTCCGGCTCACTGGATCCAGTCAGACCGCTGAACTGCTTAGGCAGAAAACCCAGAAACTGGGAGCTTCCTCTGGTCCAACAAGGGTTAAAGGTCAAACGACTTTTTGTTTTTTTTGTTTTTTGGTAATTTAACCAGTCATAAGAAAAGCAGTGAAGTTTATTATTCAAATGTATGTTTTCACCTTGGGATTCACTCATTAACAAATGTCACAGATCAAACTAAATATTTAATTAAATATCTAAAGGGCCGAATATTTAGTTTGAAGTAAAAATTTTGTTTCCAAGCTAACTAGTTAGCAAACTAAATATTTTATTTTGAGATAAATATATAACTTATCTAAATTTTTAGTTAGCAGGCTAAACATTTAGCTTAAACTGGTGACGCTCCGATCGGGTTCTTTGCTGCCGATTCCGATCACAGATCTCTGCCGATCACCTGGATTGGCTGTTAATGTTTCGCTTTAGGCATAAATGATTCTGTTATCTGGCAAAATGGACAAATGATCTGGCAATAAATTCACCAAATTTAGACCGTTTAGACATATTTCAATACACGTCTAGAATCTGTTTTCAGCTCCTGCTGTGAGAGCTCACCGTCTGGAGGCTGAGCCCGTCTGGGAAATATTACCACCAGTAGCGACGGTCCGACAGCAGAACCAGAACCAGAACCGGCGTCTCACTCCGCAGCTCCAAGACTTGAATTATTGTTGGGGATATTTGTTTAGCTTTCTGACCGTGATGCTAATCCGGTGAGTGTTGGTAGCTGCGCTGCTCTACCTGCTGATGGGTCCGGATGTCTTTGGTTCCTGCACTGATGCAGCCAAATCAGTCAAGTTCTTGTTTTTAATGTCATATTAGATTCGTGGTGTTGGTGCGTTGTGTCGTGCTTCACCCTGAGGTAATTCTCCACCGCAACTCGCAAACGTCCCCAATCAGTTAAAGTTCCTCACTACAGGAGAGCAGCTGCAGGCTGAGAAGGGAGATGCAGGTGATCAGTTTGGGATCGGCAACAAGAGACAGCGATCGATCACCGATCATACTCTTTCTCACAGAAAACAGCTGATGGAGATCGGCGGCCGACGGATCGGTACACCCCTAGTTAAATGTTTAGTTCTGTCTGTCAGACGCAGGTTGTTCCTGTTAGTTGTTAAGCGGCTGATCTGTGTGTAGCTGCTGGAGATTGAGGCTCTGAACCCATTTCCCCTGGAGGCGGCCATGTTGCTAGCGACCCGGTGATACCGGAGCCGGGTTACGTACAGGTGACCCCGCGGCCCTCCAGGGCCTGGCTGGTGGCCTCGCCGTGCAGAGCAATGAGTGTGACGGCGTACTGCGTGTTGGGGATGAGCTGCAGCAGCTGGGTGTTCGTCACGCCTCCAGCAACACGAACCTGCAGAGACAAACGGAGTGAAGTGAAACCTGGAGGCACTGAGCATGCTCAGAGCGCTGCGCATCACCGTCTGCCGCAGAACCAGGACTCGCCTTTCAATATTCAGCTTAATGTGGCTTAAGACCATCTTTAGATTACTATCAGTTATTTAGAAACTGTGCAGTACTCACTTTTAACCCAGAAAAGGACTTAGATTAGCCACTCTTTAGCTTATTTTTTCAGAAACTGTAGAGTACTCACTATCTAGATGCAGAGACACTTTTGGATCTAGACTACTTTTTAGACTCCTTCTGATCCAGGAAGGGAATTAGAGCAGATGAAACTACAGGAGCACCTAGTTTACATACTTTAGATCAACACTGGATTCTTTTTCTCTTTGTTTCGCTCTTTCTTTGGTTTGTTATTTTGTTTGTATTTCCTTTTAATTCCTGTAAAGCAGGGATTAAACCAACGATGAAATGAAATGTAAACATCGTCCAGATCCAGAAAGATTCAGGATGATTCCAACGAATGATGAAGGAAGTCCAGGCAGGTTTCCAGATCTCGGGTTTCTAGCCAAGCAACCAATGTTGAAGAGATTTACTGAATCAATGTTGTTTTGTGGTTTAAATCTAATGAAATGAAATGTCGACGTCTGATCAACGTCAGCCGGCTTTAGTCATCAAGGTCATCCAGAAGGTCAAGGTCACCTAGAGCTGCTCAGGCACGGCAGCAGCAAAGGAGCGACAGGAAGAATCAGGACGTGGCTGCAGAAGAACAGGAAGCTCCAGGATTTTCAAAATAAAAGCCTGTTAGCCTGCTACATGTTGAACATGGAGTTTCCATGTGGAAACATCTGGAAACGGTTCTGATGGCTGCAGCATAACGCTCAGAGGTTCTGACCCGGCCCGTCAGAAC